CACACCCAGACGCCTTTTTTCTTGCTCATTGGCCACGGTTTCACACACTTCAGATAATGTTTGTACAAAAGAATCTACAAAGTATAAATGTGAACATTAGAAATGTAATTGAGACTAATGACTCGAATTGTCATGTTATAATTGAGTATGATGATATATTCCCCCCCAAAAGTCAGGTTACAATGTCTCAAAATTTTAAATAACATATTATTAGATTACTTGGAGCATGCAGAAACAAAATATATAATAGCCACATATGCTTCAGTAAATAATCAAAAGGCAGGTGTAGGCATTGCCTCTGATTCGCTTGACTAGTCCTTTTCAGTCATACTGCCTGATTTTACTCCAGTTTTTGAAGCGGAGTTCGTGGCGATTATTTTAGTTCTTCGAAAACTTCCGTCAAATCAAAACAACGCAGTCATAATGACGGATTCTCTTTCAGTTTGTGCAGCTCTGAGAGCTTCAGAGAACTTTCGAATTCTAAGGACATTCAAAACATTAGTACCCCCGCAGTTGAGACTCCTGAGGTTACTATGGGTTCCGGGACACTGTGGATCAAGATTAAATTAGTTGGCCGATTCCCAAGCACGAGCCGCACTTGATGGCCCAGTTTTATCCATACTGCCAGATATTGAACACATTACAACAATGAGATATCGAAAATCAGCGATCTCCACTGATACGATAGAAAAAGTACCATGGACAGAATATAACCACCTCAAGTTTCCATGGCGACCACACTGGAGCCAGTCCAGAAAGCTCAAAGTTTGAATTACTAAATTTCGATGTCGTGTCCCCCCCCTTCTTAAACCTGTATCTACACAAATCTGGTCTGACAACATCACCCCTCTGAGCATTCTGCGGAGAAATGGAATCACTAGAACATTATTTTTTGTATTGTCGCCGATACGCTATACTTAGAAAAAGGTTACCAGTTATTCCATTTCTGGAAATAGGCGTTAGATTGACGGCGGAAACTACACTAAGCTTTGGTGCCTCAGTTTTGGGACATTTCCACAAGGATGCTTTCAATGCCGTTTGCGATTATATTCAGGCAACCAAGCGTATACCTTTGTGATCTTCAAATAAGAATTATTACTGCCCCCCCCCAAAAAAAAATTCTAGATGACAAAGTGAAGTAAACGCAGATGAGCGCTAATCACAACACCTGAAATCTCAAAATTTCTCAACTTGACTTTTCTATTTTTTTTCCTCGTTTGCTCTCTTTTTATGTGGTTTTCCGTACATTAGTCATATTATAATACAAATTCATTACACATAGTTAAAATGATCACAGAAAAACTGCACTACGCTTTCTTGGCCAATCCCCCTGAGTGGGTATGAGCCATCAGTTCCGGGAAACAAACAAACAAACAAACCACACGTTCTCTTGCTGCCATCGTAGCACAGCACATGCAAGACACCCGCTACACGTACGCATCACGACGATGACGCTGACGCTGTTGAAGATGATAATCACGGACAACGACCGTCTTGTGCAGTATATGAATTCTCGAAATACTCTATACAATACATTTCGTGACCGCAAACTACCAACAACCACAAGGGGAACATGCACAGACCTCGCATTTGACAAACTTCCGGCTAGATCCAATAGTACAAAGCAGTAACATAGAGGGCTAAACGAAATTGACAATTCAACACAACATATTACTTGTGACCAATAAACATTGTATATAACTGCACACTGCTTGGCGCTCATTCAAATACATGAGTGGCTGTTGTCACTGCTCATTTACGGTAACACCGAATGATCCTACTGCTACGCGCACTCATCATCATTCACTTCGTGGATATGCCACGGTTATTTTTGTTTTCAACAACGAAATACCGTGTGTGTGAACCAAAACGTTCTGCTTGTAATAGTAGTAATATCCGGGCCTTAACGTCGCAAAACTATCACACGATTATGAGAGACGACGTAGTAGAGGGCTCCGGAAATTCGAACAATCGGGTGTTCTTCGACCTGCTCTGACATCGCACAATACACGAATCTCTGCCATTTCACCTCCATTGAAACGCAACAGCTGTGGACTGAACGGAACCCGCAACCTTATAGGGGTCAGAATCCGACCCCCGTCACGGCGGCGGACATTTTGAGTAACTACAATTGCGACGTGAATCGTTCCCCTGCTGACACTCCATGACGTATACGTAGTCTGCATATGCCCGTTACACTAGGGGAACACGCTCGCTGGATTCCGTGCCGACCGGTTGTGCCCTCGCGATCTCCGACGTCAGCGTAGCTCTGGCCGACTGGGCTCACCCTACGTCATCTCCTGACGCCGAGCTCCGATGACAGTGTAGCTCTGACCGACTGGACTTGCTCTACGTCATCTCCTGACGGCGACAAGAGCTCTCGCAAGTGGTGCCCCGTCCTCGGACTCCTGTGACCGTTTCCATCTTTCCTAGTCTCCTCTTTCACGCTTACCTGATCTCTCTCTCTCTCTCTCTCTCTCTACCTTTATTCCTATCCTTTTAATCCCTCCTCATCCCCATCCCTTGTGAGCTACTGTTGAGGTGTCGCTCTCAGAAGCAGACAGTTACGGGGCTTACTTTTCTTCTCTTTTCCTTCTTACAACATAACCCCCCCCCCCCTCCCGCTACACGAACAAGACAGAGCAATCAAGCTTCCCTTCTTAAATTCTGGTTGATAATTGAAACAAAGCAACTGTGATGATATATAGTGGAGAAGTCGGCAACCTTTTCAGCGAATGACCGAGTTGCACGACGCCGACATAGCGCAGATCACAGTGGAAATTGGTGAACGAGGGGGGATGGGAGGGGAGTCTTTTCAGACAAAACGAAAAAAAAACTATGAATTGACAATGATGATGCAATGAACTGGAATATCAATCAATCAAGTTTATTTTCAGCACGCATGTTGCAAGGTCGCAGTTTATAAACATAAATTGAAGCAATCAAAAAACGCCACGCCTGCGCGGAAAGCGCAGCAGCAGTCACAGTGAAAGCTAGAAAAGCGGCCTTTCGGAGCCTTTTCTAAACACTTATTGGGTTACTGCTGCGAGCACACTTGATTTATGCCCACTACGGCATTAATTATAAAAATTTTAGGGTAGTAGGGTGGTATACTCTATGCTATTTTTCGTCATTCTTCTGACAAGCGTGGTATCCGCTAAACTATTGCGAGAAATTTTGTGCCAATTGTTCGTGCAGTGGCTGAAGACGATGAGGAATGATGCCTGAAGTGGGCATGCATCACAGTTAATAGCTGAACAAAAACAAGCTTGTGTAATGGGTTCGAGCATTGGACGACCCACTCGTTACGCTATTCGCATTGTGCGAAGACTGCTTCTTCTTTCGCCGTTATAAAACGTTTTATAAGTCGTATTAACGTTGTGGTAAAGCCTTTGAACAGTGGGTCATCCTCTTCAGTGCCTTCTAGTGGGTCGCCCTTTTCGTAAGAAGGAGAGCAGCTCGCGCAGAGAGTCGATCCCCGTATTGACTGTCGCTGTCGTGAATCATCGCTGAGTGTCCGCCAATAAACCGCTTAACAATTTGGTGGAGAGTGCTGAGAGTGCTGTGCCCTTCAAACACCTTCGGTCCGCATTCGATGCCCTTGGAGCTTCGATCCCGTACCGTGCCTCCAACCATGCACCAAGACGCCGCCCAGCAAACGCTTCCTCCTACGCCGACGCCATGTCCCGGTGTCCCCCGCATCCGCGACCCTCCTGTCTTCACCGGAGCGGATGGCACCGACGTCGAGGACTGGCTGGCCATGTACGAACGCGTGAGCGTTCCCAACCATTGGGACGAGGCAGGTAAACTCGGCAACCTGTTTTTCTATCTCGCGGGTGTGACCGGCTCGTGGTACAACAACCACGCATCTGATTTCCCGACATGGTCCGCTTTTAAAACCGCTGTCGTCGACGTGTTTGGCCGCCCGGCCGTTCGTAAGCTGCAAGCTGAACAGCGTTTACGTGAACGAGCCCAGCAGACCGGCGAGTCCTTCACAAGTTATATCGAGGACATCCTTGACTTGTGCAAGAAAGTCGACCTGAACATGTCAGAGGCTGACAAGATCACGCATGTTCTAAAAGGCATCGCCGACGATGCCTTCACCATGCTCCTGGCAAAGAACCCCCGCACTGTGGCAGAAGTCATCATGTTATGCCAAAGTTACGACGAGCTGCGGCGGCAGCGCTTGATGACCCGTCGACCGCCACCACGTGATGCTGATCTCTCGGCCTTGTCAGCAGTTTCTGACCACGCAACCTTGCTCGCCGAAATCAAGTCGTTCGTGCGTGAGGAAGTTGCCCGCCAGGTCTCTCTACTGGATTTTGCTTCCCCACAACATGCTCAACAACCATCAAGTACACTTCTACCTCCACTCCGCCGAGCCATTCAGCAGGAAATCGCGGAGGTCGTTCCTGAATACCACCAGCCGCCTCCTGCGTCTGTGCCACTCAGCTACGCCCAAGTTGTTGCCAGGCCGCCCCCACCGATTTCTCCAACTGTTTCCCTAAATTACACCGAAACCGTCGCGAGGCCCAGGCTTTTGGAGAAACTGTCTCGCCTACATACGCCGGCGTCACCCACGTGCCCCGAGTGCCACCTATCATGCACTCATATCAGCAGCCGGCTCGCCAATCGCGTTCTGCGACATGAATGCGACCCGCAAACCAATGGCGCACTGCTGACAATCGCCCCATATGATTTGCTTGTGGTTGCGTTGGTCATGTAGCACGCTATTGCAATCGTGTGCAGCAACCGCAGGTCGCCTCCAACTTTCCCAGCCAGTCAAGCCGCTCTTATGACCAACCGCCTCCTATGTCACCGTCGTCCCGTCCCGTACCGCGAGCGAGTCAGCGGCGAGCTTGGGCGAACGTAGATGTGCTCGGGCCGTGCTGCGTGAACCGTCGGACCGTCGGTCGAGTGCGGGCGTGACTGGGAGTAGCGACGGTTTCGAGCTAGCCGGTTCCTGTTGGCTGGTATAATAGGTATTATGACTTGCGGAACGCTGGCGGGTTGAGCGAAGGCAGATCAGCAACATTCGCCGAGCCGCATGATGAACTCCCTGCGAATATGGTTCTACAGACCGAAGAAGGAAGATAATTCAGCCCTTGCACAGTTCTACTGGGCCGATCAAGAGCTCAATCTTGTGGCTACCGAGTTGGACAGCTTTGACGGCCGAAAGGACCCAGAGCGATGTTCTGCATTGATCAACCAACTTCGTGTCTGTCAGGATAGGGTGCTAGGGATTTGCAATGACATCATGGATGAAGCCATCCCCAATGCTCGAGCGAATCGAGACTTCCGTGCAAAGTTTCCCGATGATGTGCTGCAGGAAAACATGTCTGGCCTGCTTTGGTTTGGTGCTGAGTGTCTTGCTGCGGGCTCAAATATTATGAACAGAGAGCAGGAGAGCTCTCAGATGAGGCCATTGGCGAGGGCTCTTACAAGGTCTTTGGACAATGTTCGCTGCCTTTTACGGGAACAGTGCTTTCGAAACCTGCATGAATACCCAGAAAAGCTGAAAGAATCATTGAAGACATTCGACAGGCTCTTTGCTGAGTTTGAATTGAGTTATGTGAGTGCTATTTTACCTGTGAAATCTGCCAAAGAATACCACTTGCAGCAAGAAGTTGTGGTATTGTTTTCAGAAACATTGCAAAGAGCGATTGAGGTGAGGCTAGTTCCCCAGGAGATGGTGGAGACATATGATCCAGCACTTATGTTCACCATTCCAAGGCTGGCTATTGTTGCTGGGCTGGTGCTTTTTCCTGATGGCCCTTTGAATGTTGACAAGGACTCTTCAAGCCTTTCAGAATTGTTTCGGCCATTCTACAGTCTTCTATGCAAAATCCGGGAATTGCTGTGGACTTTGTCACGGGAAGAGCTGTGGCTTCTAGAAAAACCTTATGCCAACTTGAAGAGCCTAAAGCGTGTGTCACATCAAAACAGTGGTCATTTGGTACAGATGAATATATAGGACTGGACTCTAGTGTGTGCGTCAAACATTTCTACAGCAATTACAATGGCTGTAAGCAGTTCATCAAAGACTTTTACAACGTGATTACTTTGCCGACATGAAGTGTGCCTGGGCTGACACCCAGGACACCCGGGTTCGAGCCCTAATCTGTCGTTGGTGCTAGGTTTTTTTTTTCGAATATCGCGCGATGTGGCTACCGACACCGGCGGCGGTGGTGGCAGTGGTGGCGGCGGCGGCGGACCATATAGGCGCTACGCGAGACCCGAATTGTGATCTCCTATAACAGCTTTTGCTGTAAAACCTCTTTCCATGCGACCTTTCGTGCTGAGTATTGTTAGTCAACACGCAAATATTTACACCAAGCAAGGGCATAGCCTAGCCCCCCCCCCCCCCCGCCCCAAAAATTTTCAATTAGGCTTGCGTATATACACCCGCACACACCAACTCACGTACGTATGGACATACAGTTGATTCTCCCCCCCCCCCCCCTTCATTAAAAAAATTCTTGGCAATGCCCCCGATACTAACGTTTCTCACCGACAGAGGCAAAAAGTCGTGGAGATATACATATTTGTGTTTTGAGACGTTAAACATTGCATATTATTATCGTGGAGACATTCTTTGGTTGGCTGGAGAGGGGAGATGAGGAGGTCTGTCATGGCAATGGTTGGTCGGGGACCGCGTAATAAAGCCCTGCGGGCCACTGCTCACCGACCTCTGATTTGCAGAATGCATGAAGCCGGAGAACTTAAGCAGTGCACTTGAAAAATGCGCTAGCGTAGCTCTCGAACGAGTGCTCGTGTAAAAATGCGCAGCCAAAGTTTCCACGTGTAATCACGCAACGTAGTTCGGGGGAAAAAAGCGCGTGTACATTTTTCGCTAAGTCACTCACTGATTATGACAGCCATGTCAATCTGCAAGATTAAGATATTTATTCGGTGTTTATAGGTCAATTCTAAGTGCAGTCGTGCAGACGAAGGTTGATCAGTGCATAGCAGCACACGAGCTTGGAAGGAGCATGCGACACCACCAGCCACAGGCGTAAAAAGCAAAAGCCCAATCTGAGTGACATCTCCGCACAGGTTCTTCGGTTAAGCTCGGAAGCACATTGGGGCCTAATGGGAGCCATTTTGTAGAAGATCTCCACTCAATCGACCTCGCGAAGAAGCCAAATGGTGCGGAGAAGCCAAATGATGATGCTATAGGAATGTATATACGGGGTCGTAGACGGAGCAAATTGCCTTAAAGTGCGCTTCCTTCCACAACCATTACTAGAGATAGTTTTTTTTTGTTTTTTTGTCATGAGCATGACATATGTGGTATGAAACCTCGTGGTGGAATCAATTGGCTGGGGCAAATTGCCCTAGATAACGCCGAAACATATTACCTTGGTAGCCACTTTTATGTACCGGGTTTTCGATTGTCTGAGGTTCCTAGCCCGATTGCGCGTCGCTCGAGTAGGTCTAAAGTGCTCTCAGGGTGACGTTGCTTTCTTTCATCGTCGCAGTCGGGCAACCTCACTACGAACTTCGTGGCGAGTACTTTGCTGTACTGGCATTCCCTTGTTGGGTGAGTTACTCATCATACTGTAATAGAATTCAGGGCCATCTACCCACCAAGGCGTGTACCTATACAGCGCAAAACTTTCAGAGGATATTGGCGTCAAAGGGGATCGAAGTATTAACTGGTCAGTGGTTTTTATAGGCAGGAGATGTTCAGAAAATTTGTCGGGAAACAGAGACTATAAGATAAAACAGAGTTTGTTACAGACGCACATAACTGCATGCTTTAAGTTCAGAAATCTGTATGAAAAGAAAGAGAGATAGAGAGATAACGAAAAGCCATGGTGGTGGCTCAAATTGATGGAGTAGCACATGGGCACCAACCCCTTTTTTTAGTTATAATGCACAAACATCAACATTGGAGGGGCCTCCCCCTCACCCCCATGCCCAGAAAATAAAAAAGGGGGATCCTTAAAGGGCAATTGAACAACCCCGAGACACAAAATGCTTATAAAGAAAAAAATATGTGCACTTTCCCTTTGTGAACACGCTGCCGCCACAATTTTGCGAATACATGCTATATTAAATAAGTTACAGGAGTTAGAACACCGGTTTCAGCTGGTATCAAGCTTTCGCGTGGCCTCGCCACCCTACTCCCTCACAATGAGGGGAAGACATAGCCCTTCGTCGTGACTGATTTACAGCAATCGACAAATTGCGTGCTACGTCAGGTGGCTGATAGGCGACCTTGCGTGACTGTGCGTGAAGGGAGGATTAGTCAGGTGTATATATAGGAAACCGGGAGCTGGGGAATCGTTTTTCGAAATGAAGGCTCTGCGCTGCGCGCAGCGCTGCAATAGAACAACGTAGGAATAGGAAGTTATTCTTAAATGAAAATAAGAGAAAAGTTAGCCCCGTAACGGTCTCTCAGGGGAAAACACCTCAACAGTAGCTCACGAGGGGTGGGGGTAAGGAGGGGTTCAAAGGATAGGATTAAAAGGTATAGAGATAGAGGGAGCGGAAGGAGAGAGCGAGGCGCAGTGGCAGCCAAATACGGAAGTAAAGAGAAGATCGGAAAGATGCATGCGGTGGCAGGAGTACGAGGACGGGGCACCACTCGTCGAGAGCTCTTGTCAGCGCCAGGAGATGGCGTAGGGCGAGCCAGTCGGCCAGAACTGCGCTGTCGTCGGAGATCGCGGGGGCACAAGCGGTCGGAAGGAAATACAGCGAGATAAAAAAAACTTCTCTATTAATTGCCGTCATTTTTTGGTGGTTATAAAACGAAAGTCGGAGTCTGTTGACCGGCCCTTTAAGCTTAGCCTTTAAGAGTTGAACTCGACAGCCATATCCTGTCCCTGGGGCGTACTCCAACCATTTAGTGCATGCTTTTAGGGGCGAAGCTCTTTATGGCGGCACCCGTTCGTCTCTCATAGTCGTAGTCGTAGCGTGTAACAAGTGTTACATTTTGACCTCTAAGGTAGTGCCGGTGGGAGATTTCCCCTGTGCGTTGTTGAACAATAAAAAAATTTCGCAGCATGTGCGTTAACTAAAAGCCGAATGCTCCTTTCTCTCATTCCCCATTAGCAGCCATTAGCATGTACATTGAACTATCTGACAAGAAAGGGTTGCTACGTTATACTCGCTGGGTGTAACCTCCTTAGTTTTAGAAAGGTGTAGCGAGCGTTGAGCCGCAGTGTCATTAATACAATGAACTAGTATATACCATGAACTCGGGTGGTTAAAGGGGGAAGTAGATACGAAGCGCAAGCCGTAAGAAAGTAAAAGCCGAATTCTCCTCTCTCTCATTTCCCATTAGCAGCCATTGGCATGTACATTGAGCACTATCTGACAGGAAAAGGTTGCCGTGTTATACTCGCTGGACATAACCTCCTTGGTTTTAGAAAGGTTTAGCGAGCGTTGGGCCGCAGTGCCATGAATACAGTGAACTAGTATATACCATGAACTCGAGGTGGTTGAAGGTGGAAGTAGACCTGAAGCGCAAGCCGTAAAAAAGTGTTCGTGTGTCACCTCTTGTTTAGTCCTTGGAATGTCAGCTGGATGGCGGTGATTCTATATGGGGAATATATGATGACAAGATGCGAGATGGTGGTGCTTGGAGTGTTGAATAGATGGACGAACGGACACACAGACAGATGCATGGATGGACGCATGGAGGAACGCAGGGACGGATGCACGAACAGACGCACGCACGGATGGGCGGATGGACGCATGGACGGTCACACAGACGGACGCATGGACGGACGGAAGGAAGAACGACTGGACGGACGGATGCTTCGCCCCACTCTCCATCATTCACTCCCGGGATATGCTGCCATTTTTTTATTGTATGATGTTACTCGAGATGTTTAAATTGTGGATTACTACAGTGCAATTGATAAAGTCGAAAATGGCTTGTGCCAGTGAAAGTTTCGCAAGTGGTTGCATTCTATGCAATGGGTACAAACGTGAGTGTATAGTCAAGGAAATTAAATATGAGCAAAAAGAAACTGCACGAGAGTTACCGTAATCTATTTACCGCCTGTGCATGGCAATCACGAATTAAGTTTTTTAATGGAAGTGGCTGGCTGATGCACTTCACTACATTTCAGTCAATACGGTACGTCTCTAGGATGAGCCTTTTGTTAGCATCACTATGCCTATCTAGCATTTCCGCATTGTTAAATTGTGGCTTGCATTGATGCTCAATGAACTACCAAGTTTTTAACTGATCGCACACTGAAACCTACAAAAGGAAGCCTCGCCATGGGAAGTAACTTCGCGGGATGCATCAAGGCCAACGCATCTCTCTCGCCTTATGTTCTTCGCCTGGTGACGAGCGTTACCATTGTCCCTTCCGTATCCGACATTGTGTCGCTGCCTCTTCTTCCGCTTACTGAAACGCGCCCGTTTCCCAGAATACCTCCCTCCCTCCCTTCGCGTCCAACTGCACAAACGAGGAGACCCGGTCCGGACGCGGGAAGCATCGCCTGAATGGCGGGGGCGACTCGGGTCTAGAAGCGGGCGCGCGTGCGCGCCTCCTTTTTTCGTTGTACGTGGACCGTTTACGGCCAGCCGGGCACAAGGATTTCGCTTTGGCATCGCTTCCTTCCTCTTGTTTCCGGGTTAATTCCGTGGAAGTTGTTTCCTTCCGCCGCAGCGACACTCCGGGGTCCCGCGTCGCACCGACCCTCCAGGTGCCTTCTGCCTACTTGCGCCCCTCTTCTTGCAGTCGAAAAACGACAACGCCGAGGAAACTCGCGTTCTGCGGTGGTGCGGTCACGCCTGACTTCCTCAGCCCCCGAGCGGAGCCCGCGGTGTTCGCCTTTTCTTTGTTCGAGCTGCCCACTGTGGGGAGTCCAGAGTCTTTTTCTGCCCTTGAGCTCGCCACTTTTTTTTTCCTTTCCTTTTTTTCGCAGGCCGTGACTGATGAACTGGCGGAAGAGTGCTCCTTACCGAGTCGCAGCTGCGGGCGCCGTCAGGTTGAGCACGACGAAAAGCTCGGGTCACT